TATTATAAACTGAAATTTCACCATCCAAATTTTTTTTTTCTATTGGAATTAAGTTTGGTCACATATAATACAGTTTGCTTGTTTAACTTTTTTTCCAAATCCTGAGGAAGGTAATATTTTCAGTCATGACGTACCTAAACAATATATACAACAGTATTTGTGTGATTGGCCTTGTAAAGTGTCCTTTCAGAGAGCAGTTTGTTTCAGATCTGAATAGGAGAAATTGCAAACATAGAGCCCTCCACCTTGTACATGTAGGCAAACGTTTCCCAGGCGATGAAGGAAACTTCTACAGAAAGGGGAGATCGAAATGGAATTAGCATCTTTCTGTTTGGCTTTATGTTTGATTTCTTGAATTAACTAATGGTATTAAAAGCTCATTTTTTGCTTTTTTTTTTCCTCCCAGCGCCTGCTCATTTTGCGAACATTTTTCAAGGTTGCTGTTTATCAAGTCAGTTTTGCAGTTTTCTGCTATCGGTTCAGTTCAGGTTTAGGGTAGAATTCGGCTGGAACCCAACAGGCTAACAAGACACTGTGTGTGTGTGTGTGTCTGTCTGTGTGTGGGGGGGGCGGGGATTGAGAGTCTTGTGTATGTCCACAGGTGTCTATAGTAGGCATATTGTCCAGTGATGAATGTGAGTGTCTGCTCTGTGTGTGTGTGTGTGTGTGTGTGTGTGTGTGTGTGTGTGTGCCCAGTCGCCTGGTAGACTGTGTAGCTACCCTTGCCTGACCAGGAGCTTCTCTCCAATCTTCCTCACACCGAGCATCTGGATCCCGGGTCACTGTGTCACCCAGCAGACCGGCCGCTTCCAGCTACCTGCGGAGGCCAATAAAACGCTCCTCTGGCAGCATCGGCTTGCCCTCTCCCTGTAAGTCATCTCTCGGAGCTGACGGCCTCCGTCTGCGAGGTGTGAAGTGGCTCTATGGGGAGCGAACGTGTTTTTTCTCTCTCTAAACCGGGGGACCTTTGTGCTGTCGACGTTGTGTGGGACGGTGTGCAGGAATGTAATCTCCGCACTGCTCCTGACCTTCTTTCCTGCTCCTGCACAGCTCCCTTAATGTCACCTCGACGCCGTGCCCTACATTGTCTCGGCCGGGGCTCTTCTCGTTAGAGGGGAGCCCCCAACGTGTCCTTCTGCGGGTTTAACGCCGTTTTTCAGCGCTATTTAAAAGCCTTCACCGCATAAGCCTATTTGGTGGCGCGGATCCTGCACGCCCACGGCTGTCACTTCCATTTCCCCGGTGATGCTCGGCGGCGAGGGGGCTGGGAGGGGGAGCGGTCCCCCGCCTCATGATCCGAGTCCGGCCGGGTCGCCGCGCCGTGTTATCGGGCCGCGGGGTGGCCCAGGCGGCTGAGGGACGCGACCCCCATCGGTCTCGGCGCAGCGTGGCCCCAGGAACCCGGAGGGTGTCCCAGTTGGCTCCCATCTCGGCCACGCCGGGCTCATCCTGTGTCGGGGTGACTTCCTGAGGCGGTTCAGGGCTCCCCATTACACGGCCGGCTGGGGGGGGGCCGCAGCTCAGCGACTCCCAAACACTCCGCCATTCAACTCGCTACTCGCCTTTCGTGGCGCCGACTAAATGTGTCGCTTTTTTTCTGTTTACTTTGTTGTTGTTTTTTTTTTCCGTATCGCTTTCATGGATACGAAGCTTTCAGCATCTCGTAATTACGGCCGGTGTGAGACACTGGGGTTATCGTCGCTTATTAAAGGCGACATTGACAAAGAAAGCCCGTGGCTTTAATGAGGTATATCCGAGACAGATATCTGAGGCTTTTAAAAATACCTTTAGAAAATAAACTGAGAAAAAGCGTAAAAATAATAAAGTCCATAAAATGATATATTGTAAAGTTGGTTTATTGAAGAAGACAGTTTACTATTCTGATTCATTTTTTCCATGCAGGTTTTGTATTTATTCAGTATAGTTCTGTTATTCTCACTAATAAAGAAAATGAATAGCTGTTACACAGTGTCGAAAGTGTAAATGAAACGTATAATATTATCAAAACATATTATCCATTAATTAAATAAAAATATCAGTATTGTACAATGACAAATGATGTATTTACTTTAGCATTCAGAATTCTGGATTTTAGTAGTTGTATGTATATCCTAATGAGATAACATTTGTGTCCTAATACTAATAATAAATAAATAAAATCTGTAAAGTGATTTTATAAATTTTATAATCTCTTTAAGTTTGTGGAAAAATGCCACCATCAAATATTTATTTTACCTTCTCAATAAATAGAATTACCCACAAAGTGTCTTTTGTTCAGAAACCTTGAAAACGATTCTTGATAATTCTCAGTTAAAAGTTCAACGCAAATGTATAGGTCAAACACAAAAAAGTATCAGACTGGCTGCATAAATTTCTTCGTAATGACAGAAAAAAGTGCGAACGACTGATGAAGTGCTAGAATTGCTGATCCAAAAGACGGTCGTATCCAGACTATTGTACATTACTCCAATAAAAAGCATTCAGTTAGTGGGATGGGAACGTATTCCATTCCAATCTATAAAGAAACTTAAATCACTGAGGACCAGATGAGTAAAATAAATGACTCAGAGATCATTTTTCCAATAATTATTGCTTGTAATGACTTGAATACACTGTATCATATGGGAACAAAGGTATCCATGTTACTGATGTAAATACCACTGTATGGGAGGGCAAAAATCAACCAGTAAGCTCTTTGTATGCTGCAGCTACTGCAGAGATTAAGCGTGAGATTTTATTGACGTTGTATGAAGTAGCCTCAATCACCTAGGCTCGACAACAGAAGCGTCTTTAATGAAGTCTTAGGCTCTGTAATTCTCAATATTAAATTTCTAATCGAAATTATAAATAAAAGTAAATAAAAATCTTGTTGACTTTTTAAGTGTTAATAAATCAAACATCAAACAGTATTTGTTTCGCTTTCGTTTTGATTCGATTCAGTGAATTAATATGGGTGGAAGATTTTTAAGACTCTTTAAAGGCGCAGTGTCTCACTTGGCGTCCTTCCTCTGAATGTGTGTGTGCTTTGTGGTCGTTTCGCTTGGGCCTCGTGTGTGTCCCCCCCCCCCCCCCCCAGCGGGAGTGGGATGTCCTGTGGAGCCGTATGTGGACGGCATGTGAGGTGTGTGTGAGCCTCAGGTACACACTGTGTCACAGATACGCCTCGAAACATTGAAAATCTCAAAAGATTCGT